ATGCAACTATTTAATATTGTGCTACATTCATTATTCAATTTATTCACAGCAATTAGCCTCCTATAAACCATACAAATAACTATAGCTTGTAGTCCACCTTGCCTTTAACATTGATCCTATATAATGAATTAATATAACTAACTTGATCATGTTGCTAGTCGAGTATGGGAGTATATGGAAACACGACGCCCGAAAAAATATAGCACATAGAAATATATTTCCGACATTTCTGTGTTGACATACCCTGGATTCCAGAGCCTTCGACGATTGGCGCGTTTTAATCAAAGAATCGCCCCGTTGAACCAGAGCCTTCGCGACATTTCAATTTATTATTTACTGTCGAAGGCTCTGGAATCCAGGGTAGTGTTGACATTGAGTTATATCAACACGGCTCTTAGCCAATCAGCATTCAGAATTTACAAATGCTATATTATAAAATCTGTTATCAAACTTATGTCACAGAAGTGGTAAAGGACATATGTGACAACTGAATAGTACCTTTTGTAATTTTTTTGGCCAGGGGTGGGTATTTATTTTTTAATTGATATTTGAGGTTGGGTAATTATTTTTTTTTACTTTTTAATGGTTGGGTCGGCAAAATTTTTGCCACGAAAAACATTTCTCTTCGGTGCCACCCCCCGCCTTAAATAATGACCGGTCCCTTAATCCGTCGCAGCTTCGGGAAATTTCTCGACGGATTTTGCCTTTTCCAGAGAATGGTTTTTTTTTATTCAATTCAATTAATTCAATTCCCCAGAAATGTGCTATCAAATTTTTTAAGGTAATTTTTGTCGGGGGCCCCTAAAGTTCGGGGGCCCCCCGTCACTGGACACCCTGACACCCTCCCGTTACGCCACTGATTTTCCTCAAGGCTTCGAGATGTCAAATCCTCACGAAAACTATCCGCACACCAGTGTTTCCACTTCTAAGAAAATAATTTCCTTCTCCATAAGCCGAAATTTCCTTTTTGCCTGCAAAATTTCCTTCCAAAAATCTGTAAATATCCTTCCATTTTTCCTTCAAATTTTTTTTATCAAAATCGACGGATTTACCTGGTAATTAACATCTAAACTCTAGTATTGAAGGACATTTTTATAGCAGATAACTCTGTATTTTGCAGGTTAAAATCAGCTAATCTTCGGCTTCTTCGCCCCGGGGGGGGGGGACAAAAAGAATAATAATTGGGGGCTACTTGCTGTGGGTGCGAAAAGAGATTCGATAACTGTTTCTTGCATCTCTCCCCCCTGGACACACACACATGAAACCCCCTAGGGTCTTTCCTGCCCACGCTAAGTAGAGTCTGAGAAATAATACCCTGGTCCCTGGGTACAAGGTTTGGTTGTTATTTCAATATAGCGATTCTGGGGTCCTGTCCTAAATAACATACTAGTTGCCAACATTGGAATAAAAAACATCTGTGAGATCTCGCTTTGGGGGGACCCACGAGGCACCACCATGGTTGGCGCCAAGCCGAAAATTTTGAAAATATGGAGTCTCTAGATTGTTGGAAATAGCATTTTCAGAGTCTTCTTTGCACAAAATTGTATGAAAATTGCCTTGTTCTTAGAAATTATGAGATAAAATAGAATTTCCTTCTCATTTCCCTCCTTATAACAATATTTCCTCCTAATTTCCTTCCAAATGTTATTTCCTTCCAAATTTCCTTCCAAAGGCCCAAATTTCCTTCTGGAAGGAAATTTCCTTCCAAGTCGAAACGCTGCCGCACACGAGCTAGATAAACTGGAGCTATTCCGCTTAATTCTTTGAAGATTTTAACATGTTGTTCATGTCTGTTATTTGACTTGTGCGAGTTTGTGGTTGCATGCATTTAAAATAGAGCAGACAAAAATAAGGCCACTTTATAAAGGATTGCTTTTTCATTCTGAGCTGAAATTTCCAGTCCATTACATGGACGGTTAGGGATACGGGGATATAGACGTTTCTGCTAGGGAAACTTCAACAAGGCAAAGGAAACTAATCGTTCATCCCTGACTGAAATTTATGTCATATAATCGAAATCGAACTAAAACTCTCCATATAACCAGCCCTAAAGCCGATTTCTCAATCCCGAAAACGAGGCTCTATAACGGTTAATTTAAGGCCAAGTACTTTCTGGAAGGATGTGTTGCAAGCCTGTATGCTATTAATATATGACGTGTCTGAGTGTTACTGAATATGGTAGATGTGTACACAGGGGGCTTATATTTGGGGGAGCTTATGTACAGGATAGTTTATATTCAGAGATTTACAGCATTTTGAAATCTTTAAATATTGTTGAAATTACATGTAATATGTGTCGCTTCTTCAACACCCAGACTTCAGTATTTACCTTGCTATATGATTTGCAGTGGTGAAACTATGGCAATTGGTCAATGGTCATGCTATGCTAACACACCTGCACCAAAGTAGTTTAAAGACAATAAATTTCTACAGGCCACTACAAATATTTAAAAATCTGCATAGCATGACCAGTTGCTACTGGTACGCCTTTGATGACTTGTCTGAATTTGGTCTTCATTCTTAAAACTGTTATCGTACGGCGAGGGGGTGTCACTGGACACTGATTTAAATTATCATGTACGCCTTAGAAAAATAAGAAAAACCCGACAAAATCACAAAGAAATCGCAAAAACCACAAAAAATCACATAAAAAGTTACCAAAAATAAAAAGCAATGCACCAAAACATTATTGAATAAAAATCACAAAAAAATCTTGAACACTTTTCAGGAATTTGTCCCTCGTAATACTGTATAGCGTTATGTTATACCTTGCAGCCTTAGAGCGTATTTTCCATCGATCCGATCCAGTCCTCTGATGACAAGGCATTTAGGCATCTCCAATACAACCTCGTACCCAGGGCTTCTGCGCTCCAATATGGATAGGTTGAAATGAGAACAGGTTGTCAACCGATGTTGTTACAGCATTGCGCAGTTGTAACAATGCTGTATAACAACATTGTTGACAGTTGTTCTTAGGGTGCAGCACAACCGTATTCAAGCCTGTCCATATCAACTGGGAACACGTTGTTCGTTTTTACGCGTGTAATTAAAAGAAAGTTGGCAAGCGGTTTATAATATTTCGTTTTTAGGGCGGCTCATTAATAATGGGAGAGGGGGGCGCGGCGGCGGGTGAGAAAAGGGGGGCGGCTTTAACTATATTTTTGCATGAATTGGGGGCGGCCTCAAACTGAAATTAGGGAGTTTACGATGTACGACGCGGTCAGCTCGACGACGTCGAGTCAAATTATGCTTGAAATAAGCCACATGAATTTAACTATACTGCTTTAATTGTCTAAAGCATGTTTTAATAATCTTATAAATCTTTAAATTGGCCTAAACTACTCCGATGTTTAGCTGATGTTGCCGTTCTGTCAACGTTATAAAACATCTCCCATGTCGCAACGAACTTTGATATCGTCTCGCATGACGTGTTTCTTTGTTTTGCAAGCGCGTCGTCGAGTTGGCCGCGTCGTGAATCGTAAACTCTTTAACATGCGACAAGGAGCGACCCCAATTTTTTAATGTTGAAAAAATATTCAAAACAAAAAAGTTACTATAATTATGTTATATTGTATATAATAGAATAATATGAAACAGTTCGACTTAAATACATTTTAAATAGTACTTAGTCTGTCTTGTGAAGGAATTTTAATGCTATAATTTTACGAGTTATTAAAAATAAAACCTTTGTAACAAATTAAATGTTGGAGGGGGGTGTCCTAAATTTTCTAGATGGAGGTGGGGGCGTCTTGAAAATAAAAGTCTTTCGATTGGGGCGGCTCCAAAAAAGTTCAATATTTGGTATTTATCACCCACAGCCACGGCCCCCTCCCATTATTAATGACCGGTCCCTTACCAACAACCTCCTGCATTGCCACTCTTCTCTACTACATCCCCAAACTACTGATTGCGTATTTTATTGCCTGCTACATATGAGGCTATTGTGGACGACCGGCTTAATATACCGTGTCAAATATCAAGTACAGTCATGTTATTGAATATATCCATACATTTATTAATTTTGATAGCCATGTAATACACTGACAACCCTTGCTTATCACACCCATGCAGAAAAATATGTTTACAGTTTCTTGTATTATTGCCCCCTTTAATCTTCACCTATATCCTTTAGTATTACTCTTGTTTAACGCCTGTACCTGTACACAACTATATATAATCACAACTATCGTCAGTAGCGGTTTATAATTCAGAACCATTTATAATTTTGTGGAAAGAGAATTTTGCCCTGTATGAAGTCACGAATATCTTTTAATGCTTGTTTTTCAACGCTGGTTAAGGTCTGCCTCTTCATTTCCCAGTTATTCAACTCCACGAGCATGTTGGAATAGATCTCCCGCGCCTGCTCAATCTTGTTTTCTTTCTCAAAATCATAAGCTTGTTTGACTGGAATCGCAAGAATATTAATAATTTCACACGTGTCAGTAAACAACTTCATCATTGGCTCTTGCGACGCACTCAGTGATCTGTTGCCTACCACGTCATTTCTAGGTCTAGATGGCAAACGACCAACAGTATCCATCCAAAACTCATTCATGCTGTTTAATCTCTCATTAAAATGTTCAATAAAGTCGTTGGTTTCAAATCTCCCCTTCTCTAGACATTTTTGATACACTTTATCGAGTTCCATGCTTTTAAGTACATTAAACGCTGCTTCTTTGTCTGGTTCTTCGGAAATTATCCCATCGGAAATTTGACCAATATCCCAACGCAATTCCATTATCTTATCAGCGACGTCATTTCCATCTTCCATGTGTTCAAGTAAATTATACTTTGGCATGAAGTACATTGGCAACGTTCGTTCTCTCAGAGCCATTATCAGATCATCTATAAGTGACAACAAATGAATGACAACTGTATTTTCACTCCAGCCTCTCGGTCCAGATTTCTCGCAATACCACAACACAATTGTCTTCAAGTGATAGGAACAAAATATATTTTTGATATTTGGACTCCACTGATGTTTATAATGATGTACAAAGGCTTTGAGAGCACGGTATACTTTATGTTGTAGATCAGTAAGGTTTCCGACGAGAATTCTTTCCGCGTTGGAAAATGAGAGCCTGAAGGTTCCTTTGACAGAACTCTTGCAGACAATATGGAAGCCATCTTTAATGATTTTGTGGACAATATCTTGCGTAGGCCAACATCTTGATCGATTTGGCCATTCTTGGGCACAAAGTGGCCATCCTTCACACTTGATAGCTAGAACAAAATCAAAATACTCAGTTGGTACAATCCACTCAGGCAGACCAGGCACTTTTCCCTTTTCAGGAAGTGAAGACACGACCGCGATGGAAGGTCCTTCATCAACTATATCAACGTCTTCTTCTGCAAGTGGTGTAAACATTGGTCCGTAACTGAGATACCTTTGTCTCAACTTTTCTTTGAGTTTCATTGAGGAAAGTATCACGTTGTTTTCATACCCTGGTTGAGTTGACGTTTCCAGGAAATCAGCCCACGTTTTAATAAGTGCGTCATCTGTTAGGAATAAAGTCACAAATGGCGTGTCTTCCTTCACTGTTAACTTTCCCTTCTTCTGGTCTTCCTCAGTTACCTTTATGTTCTTTAATACAAACATGAAATCTGTATCTGAAAGTAATTTCTTATTCAAATTCATTCTCATGGTACCTTCACTGAAACTTCCAGAGCAGAATGCTTCATCGAGTTGAAATGGAGCTTCGTTATCGAAATAATTGCTCGCTGAATTGAAAACATGTTGATCTAGGTGCTCTGCCACAAGTTTAAGTATTTCTTTTCCTTGTTTTGCATATGATGAGGTAAATAAATGATCAAGTTTTTCCAGGCCATCACGAAATCCCCGACAACCACGTGGAAAAAGACCTATGTTTAAAATGGTCTTTCGAAGCTGTGCTACAACACTTAAATCTGCTTGAGCCATTTGTACGCTAAAAAGAACATAAGACAACTTAAGAATGTATGTACATACAGTATACAATAATGTAATCAGCAATGGCAAAATATGTTTTTGAGAAAAGTTTCGTAAGATTAGTATAGATTACAATTGTTTTTTATCAACGTAATTCAAACTCTATCCTCTATCAAAAGGTTTTGAGAAAAAACAGATGATAAAGATACAATTATTTGAGAATTTTATATACTTGCTCTCGCTTACCACCACCCAGGGTTTTTTAGTTTCCTGAGTTCAGACATGACGTCGAGTGACAGAGTGAGGTGTCCTCAAGTCTGCTAAAGTGCAAGTGATTTCCTATATATTTGCACACAAATCAGCACACTTTTTTCAAGATAGCAATGTCAATACCACCACACGTATTCTTTATTGTTTTATTGCATGGTATTTGATCAAGACCTGATATCAACATTCCCATGCAGGTCTTGATTTAGTAATTCAAAACCTGGTATAGGTCTTAAATTGAAATTAAAAACCTGATAGCAGGTCTTGAATACTTTGAATTTGTGGCTGAAAACGAGACTTAGGCCAAACAAATCAGCAAGTCATTGTTTAAATAAGTCTAAACTTACTATATTATACTAAATTGAATATATATAACACATTAATGTCATTATTCAGTTAACAATTTTGATCGATGTTTTACTTCATGTGGTGTAAGATCAAACAGTATATATACTCTGAGCAAAAAAAAAAACATGAATATGAAACCACAAACTTTTCAATATTTAATACGCTGGAATACTGCATGGTTGCAGCATTTCAATTCCGAATACTGTACTTTGTAGACTTTTCGCAAAGCCAAGGCTATGTGCAGTCTTCGACTGCATGACTATGAATAAGTCGCAATGAATTTCTAAATTAGGTTTTCTTCAGTTTGTCTAGATTATGTAGGGTTATATTAAATACAGTACTTCAACAACACAATTGAGTGGGATAGCTTATAGCTAGTTTCGAAATTATTTTGTAAAATAGATAAAAATAACTTCCAAAAACTCATGAAAACAGTAGGTGAGGTAGGTATATAAAAAACTCATTAATAGTTCATGAGGAAAAGACGAAGGAAATCACTGCCGTGTTGGTAGTTTTATATGTGATAAAAAATCATAAACTTTAGCTTTGATTTTCTCGGCTTAGACAACGTTTATTTTTATAATTACTTCGCCAATGAGCTCATCAGATGGGTCGTTTTTTAAGCCATTTAATTAAAATACTCGCAGTCCGTGCAAGCAGATATAAAACACTCGAGCTGAGCCCCCATGTTTTATACCTAACAAAGCACTCCTGCACGTGTTTTAAATAGTAAAACAACATAACGACCCTCTTGAATTTCAATGAAAGACCTCCTACTCGGTTGTCATGCAGTTAACCATACCTAAAAGACCACAACGTCTTCACCGTACCTCACATCTTCAGCTTCCTAAAAGCCTGAATGCATGTTACTGCAGCCTTCGACGAATAGTCGTATTTATATACGCACAATAGTGACAAATGTGAAATTGTGCATTATTAAAAAAGAATATATCACTCAACATGGGTTACCGAGGTCCGAGTAGATCATTTCATTTTTTTGTTTACTTTAGTTTTCTTTGTAATTAACTTTACAAATTGTACAAATAAAAGTTGTCTTTACAGATAAAAGATCTACTATTAAGTATAATGATTAATAATGGATTCTAATGGATATGGACATAGACTATAATATAGTTTGCCAAAAACTGCACGTATAGCGTGTTCTTTTGCACTTTTCCGATATCTTCATGACTTCATTTGAAGATATTTCACTTTTCGATATATGTAAAGAAAATTAATATTTAACCATTTAAAACAACAGTAAATAAGTAAACATTGAATATGAAACTACAGAAAATTATTAATTTCTAGCAGTGCCATCCAATGACAACTTATTTACATATCAAACAATTTACATATCATGCATGGAAACGAAAAACCAACAGATATCGAAGAAATGTAAAATGATATGCACGCAGAAGAGCTTTTTTATTACAATCCTGGTCAAAAACCGCGTGGCTAGCCGTGCAGCATATTATTAAATCAAAAATTGTCTTTCCAAACTTAGGCCTACTAGTTAACTCTGTGTTATATGTAAATATACAGACAAATTGCTCATTGCTAAATAAATGAGAAGATTGAAATGAATGATTCAATCATGCTCAAATTTGGTAAGAGTGCCAAGCAATGCCAAGACCATAACCATATAGAATCAGTGCCGTAGTTGAAATCAATTGTTTTTATGGTATGTGAACACGAATATATGAATATGTGCCCCCCCCCCCCCAATTATCTTTCTGGCTACGGCACTGTACAGAATCCATTGCCGATGTCATTTAAATTCATTCGTTTTGCTATTTTTGTCTTTAAGTGAATGCACGTTTTGAAATTCAAGATATTCGCCAAACATTTTATCGCGATTGAAATAAACAACTCAGGGCCTTTTTTAACATACAAGCTGGGGGGGGGGTGGGAAATGCCCTCCAGTCCCCCTTGTGCCCTCCCACGAAATCAAAATTTTCTGCGGGAGTATGCCCCCACACACGTGGACTTCGGCCATTGCTATCTTCCTCTATAATAAAGTATCTCACAGAAAGGTCCCTTTTAAAAAAAAGGCCCTTTCCCGACGGGAAAATCCTTAAAAAAGGCCCTGAAACAACTGCTGATCATACAGTCACAACGAAAGTAAATAAAGCATGTGCACACACAGTGATCATTTTCATTGTCGACATTTTATGTTTTTTATGTTTACTTTCAAATTCCTTGCAATACAACAAGAAATATCAAACATTTGGTCGAAACGTCAACATGTCCTGAATGGGTTATATAGAACCTTGATATGACGTATGTTTATGATAGTGAATGCTTTTTGTTACTGAGAAAATTTTAATTCAACAGAAAAATTAAATCTGAACGTTTTCCAAGTCTTCTTTTTATGAGGATTATCCAATTCATTTCTTGTCAGTAAGAAACTAAAGTGAAAATAAAACAATGACTAAACAAACAAGCACTGTTAAATTGCGCATCTTCAAATATTTTGCAATGAACTCGTTTTCTAGAACATGTTTCTATAAAGACTATATAATCTACACGAAGTACATAAATAAAAATTACATTAAAATGTGATTTACACATTTCGGTTACATAGTAAAGCTGGAGAAGAGCAAAAATCAATCAGTGGGATGAGTTAAAATAATTCTAAATGAAGTGCATTTGAAGTAGTGAATAGTAATATTGTACATGCATGTAGCTTGATCAGGGCAGTTCTGAGCAAACGAAATGACATGTGACGTGGAATAGTGATCAGTAAAGCCCGCCGCACATACCAGAGCTATGTGCTTTAGTGCTTAGCAAAATGTCTTTCGTGATTGTTGGCGTTAAGCCTGCCGCACACGATGGAAATTTGCTGGGCTCGCGTGCATGGCGGCTATAGCTCAGCTATATGCATTTTCACCGCCGCACACGTTGGCAAAACTACACAACATAATTGACAAAATCATTTGCATTTGTTCAACGTCACATGATTGAAGAACAGTATGGTTTCTCATTGGCTAATTGATTCAAGCTACTAAGCTCGCAACATCCGCAGACGTTGAGAATTTTTCCTCGCGACGTGAAAAATATCAATGCTTTGGCAACTGAGTTGGCAGAGCATTGGGCTATAGTATTCCAAAGGTCATAGGTTCGATTCCCACCGTGGCCGGGCATATTTTTCAAGCTCGCCCGGTGTGGATACACACTCAGAGTAACATCACAAACATTATATTCACCTCATGAGTACACAACATCAACACAGAAAAAATCAGAGTTCGTACTGTTCAACCGTATTTGTAGCGGCGTTATGGACATTTAATGGACTGCTATCATGAGTCAACAACGTTGATTTCAGGAAGGATACCAGTCAGAAAATGCATGACTTTATATGTAGGTCCTCTTAAAAGACTTCACTATCTTTGATGGTTTTGCAGCGTAGCGTAAGATGTGGTTCTAAAGGCTGATTTCCACTGTTGCGTTTTTCAAAGGTACGTATACGCACGTAAAACTTTAAATCCGTTTAAATGTTACTTATGAAATAACCAAATAAATAAAGCAACAGAATTTAGTGTTCCGCAAGTTTTAGTATGCATTTGTTAACTTATTTGTAAAATACTTAAAAAATAGAAGGATTCAAAGTTTTACGTGCGTGTACGTGCGTATACGAAAAACGCAACAGAGGAAATCAGCCTTAAGCAGCGCGTTTCGCCATTCTTGTAAACACTCAACGGGATTTACCGAAGATATACCACGATTCGGGGGTGGAAGAGGAATATTTTCCTTAAATATTTAATATCCCTACCTCTAAACGTGGGATAGGGAATATTCATTCCAACACACCCTTTCGATAATTACGTCATTTAGCCTGGGAGCCTCGCTCTCATGAATCGTGAGCCAATCACCTTGCGTAATTTACTAATGAGAGCGAGGCTCCGGTCCAAGACCAAAAAGTATGTGTGACGTAATTATCGAAAGGGTGTATTTTAGTTCCAGATGTTCATATTCTTAATATTCGTATTCCTATACAATCAATATTCATATTCCGACCGCAAATATGCATATTCCAACCATAAATGTCATAATCACGAGATTGTGGCTGATAACGACAATCAACAACGCGCTTATTTTCCAACTGTTATTTTAGTTTCCTCAAACATTCAAGAGTTTTTTATAAACTATACTAAGTAGAAATGCTATATTTTAAATAAGAAATGTTTACCTGTCGTCCTGAACAAAGCCGGTGTGAAACCAGAAGTAAAAAGCACATTTATCATAGCCGACTGGGACATTCTAAACAACATCAAATCAAACATAATTTTTCGTTAAAGGACACCCCTCCGTCTTTAGGTAAGAAATTTTGAATTTTTAAATTCAACTGTTGAAAATGTCCCGTGTAATTCCGAATTTACCTGTGAGTGTTCGAATAAAGCTATACTATATCTTTAAAATACCCAATGGTGCAGAACTTTCTGCATTTCGGCGAAATCATGCAAAACATTATTCGTGCCCGAATATGTATTAAGCATCCCAGACATCCCACCTCCAACCTGATAACCCCCCCCCCCCCCCAGCAGATATTAGACAAGTTCAGACCACTATCTTTCGCTGGCTTAGTAAACATCTGATTGGTTAATCGAATATATCAAACGCATCTGATTGGTTAATGATTCCTTAATAGTAGCGGCAGTGGAAGTCGAATCTAAACCTCTATATTAAATACTAATGGAGATGTATCTATTCGGAATTTGTTTCATTGCATATTTTTCAAATTATCGGCAGAAAATTGATTATATGTCAAACCCATGCAGTGACCTCTATACTTCACTCATTCAGCCCATGAGAAAAGTGAACCCAAGATGGTGGAAAGTGACGTCTAATAGCTATGAAGGTCGTAACAGTTTTAACACAATTTTCCCCCAGCTAACAATAGAAAGAGACTGGACTGAATCTTGGCTTCACATTTTGGACTCGAGTTCTCGCTCCAGATATATATGGAGTTCATTGGTCAAACCTTATTTGAAGAAAAGAAGATAATCTTTGTCTCTCCAGCAATAACTGGTGATTTTTCTTCCAGAGTTATTGTTATCTTGTCCAACTCATCATTAACGTCCTCCTGAAAAGAAACCATGCAACATTAGAAAAACGTATAAGTAAAAATACAGCATTCGTATGTAATATGTGTTGCTAGCTATATAGAGCAATATTAAAATGCTGTTTCTCAGACTTTTTACGAGTCCAGCTTAAAGTTTGAAAATGATGTCATTTGAGAATAGCTTCATGAACGACATGAAAGGTCGTTGCTAAAGCTAGGGAATGATGAGATGGAGGATTTCAAGAAGATGGCCGCTTGTTTTCAAGATTGTTATTAAGAACGTGAAACAAACACGTCAAACAACAACCAAGCAATCTTTAATTTTTAAAAAACCATTGTTATAAAAACATTCGGCGCAATTATTCGTATATAGTGATTATTGTAAAAACAACAGCAACATCAATAAAAGGCTGAAGACGGGCAGGAAAACTGCTCGAAATATTGCAAAATAAAGAAATTATACCTTTGTATAATCCTTGAATTTTAATGGCCGAATAATTTAAATCAAAACAACCAAGCGCTACTTCTCACTCTACATGTAACCTGAGCCTAAAACCTGACGTATCTTGTAAATTCCCTCTCGTCCACCCCATTTGTAGAAACTCTCTGTATATATGTTTTGTTTGAAAAACATTTCGTGGAATTCAGGGTAACTTTATAAACAATTTAACATAACAATATTCACTACGCCCAAAATTATCATGGATATCCCGATGTGATACGGTACATACCATTTGTCCTAACTTGTCGTTTACTGCTCTCTCTAAAGTAACCTTGCCATCAGTTATGATTTGAAAGCGTAAGTCACTGCCGTTACCATTTCCAACACCTAAAATATGAAGAAAATTGTAAGTTGCATTTTATTTGATAAAAATAGAGCATCGTTGACAATACCCAACAGAACGTGATTTATATATTTTCTCTTCTTGACAAACCAATTTTTATTCAAATCCAGAATCTCGTCATGCAGTTGAAACAGCTTGACAATTAAGAGAGTTTATATTTACAAGATAGAAACTTTTGGATTGTTTCTACACTAGTATATACGAGTATTAGTATACGACAGTGTTGTAGGACTCAAGTCCGAACTTGGACTCGAGTCCGGACTTGAGGGTATGACTCGGACTTAAATACATCGGACTTGGACTCCTTATCAAAGAATTCGGACTTGACACTTCTGGACTTGGGAATTTAGGTCAAGTTCTGTATGAGTCCACCATTTAAATTTCCTCGTTGATATACTCATTGCTGATCGTTATAATTATGGCCTCTATTGCAACCCGGCGCAAACACAAATTGCTCTGTCAGTACGCGTTTCAAGCTTAATTTTCCAAATATCTTTTTCGCGACAAGAATATATGCCAATATGGAAACACTATGTGATTTGTTTTTGCGACAAAATTCGACGTGATGCGTAATAACTCACTGACCACACGAGAGAGGTGGAAATCACATGATTTATATCTTACGACCTTTTAATTATTGATCAATGCTTTTTCGTTCGATATATACAAAAATACGTACTATTTAAAACACGAGAAGGAGTGTTTTATCATATTTAAAACGCGAGGCGCAGCCGAGCGTTTTAGATATGATAAAACGCGGGTTCGAGTGTTTTGAATAGCTTAAAATACGACTACAAAAGAATACTAATTAGGATGAACAATTATATAATCATACTAATTAGGATGAAGAATTATATAAAGAATACTAATGAAGATGAGTTTTATCAGATATAAAGTCACTCCACGTGACATATTATGGCTGACATGATTTGCCACAAGGTTTATGAATTTTTAATGAGTATTTTAAATCTATTTACGGAATTCAATACTTCAAATTAAGTGTTCCATTTATTTTATTCGGACACATGCATGCATGCACTGCATGTAATGTAGGGCCTTATACTGCTTTGCACTGTATATGTTTTAAACTTGAAATTGAATATTACTATATAGTCTGATCTGTTTGCCACGACCATATTACTTTGATTACATCGTATATGTGGATTGTGGAAATATGATTATACTTTATCATTTTGGACTTGGACTCGAAATATTTAAGGTTCGGACTTGAAAATTTTGGACTTGAAATTTTGCCTACGAGGACAAAGAAGGATATCAAAGAAGTCAACAGTGATTTCCGTTTGTGCTTTCGTCACAATCATGCAGACGCACCTTTTTATTTCTAACTGAATATATATCGGTCCAGGATTCATTGAGCACAAATTGTGCAACAGATCGTGACCAACCTCTAGAAAAAAGTCGCGAGGATTCTTTTTGCTTGCTACTGTAGGTGCCATATATACAGCATTTCTGAGGTTGACTGCATTACCTTCTGTCCCCTATGACACTTGCTGCATGAGACTCACCGATATGCCTGATCTGGACGCAGAAAGCATTTTAAAATGACCTTGTTATTTGATTCTAGTAGAGGGCCATGCATGCATGCATGTATTAAAGAATATTGTACATTGCATAGCAGCGTTTCCGTGGGCGAACGTTAAGATTTTGCGTTGTCATTCTTTCATCTTATAGACAGAGGAATAGTAGGTTTAATATTTGATAGAAAAACATGTACGCAATACACACTGATACTATAGGCAACAATTAAACTACAACAGCTGCACTGCATTGAGTAAAAATTTATAACAAACGCACTTTTTATTCCTTCAATTATAATTTGAGAGATCTTTCTAGGAATATCTTCTGGAACAATCCAGTTCAAGTCATATATTATCTTCTCCATATACCCAACAAAACGACTCTGTAAGAAAAAAGTAAATATATATATATATAATCAGTACAATATAATGTACATTCATTTACACAAATAAACGTGGTGAATGCTCACGAACACGAGCAACTGACCTGACTTGGAGTTTCAACACCTTGAAATGTTTTCCCAACAGTTAAATCAGTACGACGTTTTCCAAAATATTCCAAACTTTCCTGTAAACAGATATAGTTACACCTTAAGTTATTGAAATAATGAAATAGTAGAGAAATATAATACATTCCTATTTATATAGGCTATCATTTTATGTATACGGCTGTCAGATGTCAATTGGGATTTCTCGTGTTAATATATTCTGGCAAAAATTATATAATCTGTATGTTTGTATTTTGTCATTTTAAAAAGTTGAATTAGATTAAAATTACATTTAGAACACAATAGAATTTGGCGTGCTTATACTGCATGTATACCTTCGCCACTCTGAATTTTTCACAGGCCAAGAGCCAAGTGCAGATTGCTGTTCCAGTACGACCTGTTGAACAAAAATTTGTATGTAGTATACGACACAGGGGATTGGGGTTGGTATTGAGATGAAGTAATCTTCCTAGGGTGTCTGGGGGCATGATTCTTCCTGATTACTGATTGCAAAAGTCTTACATCATGCATTTAAACATTTAAAATTTTTTGGAAATACTCTAACGTACGACACGACAATCAATACCTTTTCCTCCTTTACAATGCATGGCGACGACATTTTCAGAATCAGAATTTAACCATTCTCTAACGTCATTACAAAATTCCAGTAACTCTCTAAAACGTAATTATATATAGGCCCTACGTAATGTAACTGACAGTCACGATGGCATGTTTTCAGACTTGTAAAAGCGTTTGGAGTGCGTGTAAATTCGATTTGACATAACGATATATAGACACAAAAACTTAGTTGGCAAGTTTAAGCAAATTAACAGAACAGACATTTATTTCTACCTTAATTTTGGAACATTATGATCATCAGTTTTCAAGCGATAGACTCGATCCTTGAACATGGAATGATCATAATCTCGTTCGCCTGTAAATACCAGTGAAGAAGATTTGGAATTACGACAAAAACGATATGACGAATCTGGCCGAGGTGGTAATCAAAGTGACGTCTTGTAAGGCTTTATGGATTATTTGGGAGTTAGCAGGATTATTGATTATTAAGACTGGATTTTAGGATTATCGGTCTATTGTATTTTTAGGATATCTTTGTTTAGAGACAAAGTATATGGATTATTTTCAAAATTTATCCAGGATTACGTATTCGGGATTACAGATTACTTATCAATCAACCATACATTGAACCACCAAACCCATGCAGCATGCAGCCGTACACTAAAAACGTAGTATCTGCATGGTGGTATTATTTTAAGCATTACAGTAATATTCTCAATAGTAGATATTCATATTCCTACAGTCTTGGACATAACTGGTTAAGACTAATTTCCCCCTATACAAAATTCGTATATTTTTGATAAACTCCATGTTGAATCATGTTGCCCTTCTTAAGCCTTCCCCCACTCAATATTGAGTTTGTGTCATGGTATATTACCAAATTACAGTCTAGCAAGCAAAACATACTGCACAAGTTGTAGATCTTGTAGTGTCCAGGATGTTTGGTCTCAAAAAATCGGGCCACTTCCTACATGAACAAAACAATTATTGCTCATTATTCATGTTATGGTCAATCTGTGGTATGGTGGTCACCACGCACGTTTGCCTTTCAAGCTGGGAGATCCGGGTTCAATCCTTGCATGGTCGGACCTCTACTCAAGACCTTACTGAAAATAAATGAGAAACCTGTACATTGACATTTGTAAATGGTTAGAATTTCGCGCCTTCTCGGATAAGGACGTTAAAATCATAGGTACCTCGGATCCCCTATCAATTGGGCAATATCCTGTTGGGAAATCCGCTCACCAAAGAGTGAGAAACTCAATAAACTCAAATTCCAAGCTTATGAAGTTAAAATCATCCTTACTGCAATAGGATTTCTGTATAACTTGTACTTTCCCGACGATGGAAATGACATTGCTATAACATTCTCTAAAATAATAATCAGGAGACAAGATCATAATTACGCTGTGGCATGTAATGGTTAGTCGCAAAGTACTTCAGTTTCTTCGAAAAAGGCACTGTCAGCTATAATTGCACGTTAGGGACCGGTCATAAAGTAACTGCTAGGGTGGGCCGGAGGAAATAAGGATGGGCCATGAAATTATTTTCATCAGTTTGGGTGGGCCATCAATTTGTTTTTGTGCAAATGGATGGGCCATGAAACACATATAGCCTGTTTGCACTCAATACATACTACAACTACTACACAACATTCCTATTAAAATAATCAACATTCAATAGGATAAAATAATAGATTTAAAGTGAATTCAAAATTAAATAAAAACATAATCGTGTTATTATTATAATATCATTAATATTTTGTAAGTCACATCTACAGGCATTGATTTTTAAATATCCACATCACCCTTCCTCACAATCAAGATTCTGATGACATAGAGTCAGACTGAGAAGATGATGTTTCCAATTATTTTTTTAACAAAAAAATCGAGTGTACATTGTTTTTTCCCACAACTGTTGTTTTTCACCTTCTTTTGACTTGTTACTTGTTTTTCACTTCTCCAATGAAGTTACAATTTCATTTACCTGTTCTACAGCATCATCTTCAAAATAATTCTTGGCAATTAACGTTTTTAATGCTGTTATATGGTACCTTGATTTAAGTTGTTTAATAGGCTCAAGCACACACATCTACTTGAGAGATTTTTTCAGCACCATTCTCCAGAGACTCGTACTTGATTCTGCCACCTGTAATAATCTTTGTGACATCACACACTCTTGCATTTTCTCTTGCATTATTTCTCTCAGACTCTCATCTCTGTATCACTTTTGGAGGAAATTTTCCTACAGTTAATAAATTACAATTAGTAATGATTGTTGTGTGACTGTTGTCCATCCAATATGTTGTCGTAAAATGTGAGTTCATTGGCTTTCCAGGATTAGGAATCTACAAATCTTTGGCTGTTGTTGGCCCAATGGTTTTTCCAAAATTATCTTTGTTTTTAATATCCGCCAGGCAAAACATGTTAAAATATATATACTTACAAGTTGTAACATATTTGTGGGAAACACTCAACATTGGTGTAGTACGCTGGCTTGCCATGTCTTTATCCTGTACTCCATTTTTGTTCTTCGAACTCAAAATTTCTATTGCAGAATGGCAGATTGCATTTATTATCCGCACAGGGGGGGTTGAGGACACTGGAAAATCCAGGGAGGGGGTCGATAAAATCGCTTGGAAATCCAGGGGAAGGGTCGATAAAATCGCTTGGAAATCCAGGGAGGGGGTCGATAAAATCGCTTGGAAATCCAGGGGAGGGGTCGATAAAATCGCTTGGAAATCCAGGGAGGGGGTCGATAAAATCGCTTGGAAATCCAGGGGAGGGGTCGGTAAAATCGCTTGGAAATCCAGGGGAGGGGTCGATAAAATCGCTTGGAAATCCAGGGGAGGGGTCAATAAAATCGCTTGGAAATCCAGTGGAGGGGTCGATAAAATCGCTTGGAAATCCAGGGGAGGGTCGATAAAATCGCTTGGAAATCCAGGGGAGGGGTCGATAAAATCGCTTGGAAATCCAGGGGAGGGGTCAATAAAATCGCTTGGAAATCCAGGGGAGGGGTCGATAAAATCGCTTGGAAATCCAGGGGAGGGGTCGATAAAATCGCTTGGAAATCCAGGGGAGGGGTCAATAAAATCGCTTGGAAATCCAGTGGAGGGGTCGATAAAATCGCTTGGAAATCCAGGGGAGGGGTCGATAAAATCGCTTGGAAATCCAGGAGAGGGGTCGATAAAATTGTTTGGAAATCCAGGGGAGGGGGTCTTGGAAGTCCAGGGGAGAGGGTGAAAAAAATTGTTTTAAGTCAATAACCAACATATCACATTATTGCTATACATAACTAACAAAATAACTTTAATTATTTTTTTTTAAAACAAAATTTCTTTGTTTTAATAGTTATTTACAAGTTATGTAAAACAATAAAGCTATATATTATATATTTTCACATGAAAATAACAATTATGCATTGCATGTTTAATAATTGTTAATTGTTAACTTTATGCAACCAATTTGGTGAGTCGTTAATTTCTTAACGTAGCGGCTGTATAACAAATTAACACAACGACAACGTCAGACTGTCAGAGACAGGAACAAAGTTTCTTTATAAACAGTTTAAAATCTAGAAAGCTATCTAAGTTCCTTTTTCCGTTTCCTTGTCTGTCATACATTTTGATAGTTCCAGCTTTTTCAAATTTTTTCTAAGTGCGTCCTGTGCTCTTCGCAATTCGGCACATGATGTGTCTAGACACGTCTGCAACTGTGACAAGGCAGTTAGAATGTCTTTTCTAGCTGCACTATCGACTGTTTTTTTCAGAACTTCGGTCTTCAAATTTACTTCCGCTTGCAAGTTTTCTATCTTGGCCGAAGCGATTTTCACGCGAGAAATGTTGGACGGCACTGTTGCAGCCTTCATCTTCTTTGCTTTCGGTCCATCTTCTGTTCTTTGCATGTTGTTGGGTGTCACCAGGTCCTTGACCAGGTCTTCCTTGCCTGCATGGTTTACCAGAAGCTTTGAACGATGAAGTCTCCACTCTTCATTAGTACGCCTATAGATTTCTTTGTTAGAGATATTTCTGTTTTTGGCCATTTTTCTTACCCTCTCATTCCAAAATATTTTGTATGCTTGATCTTGACCTTTTCCTTGTTTTATTTCAATGTCAGTGTAGATTTT